TATATGTATGGGTATGTGTGTATTTTTATATATGCCCTCCATGTATTTATCCATTTATTTTTCAGGTGAGCGGATAGATGTTGGGTGTGTGGTCCTGTGTTTTGTTGGTGTATATTTAATATACTTCTAATCGCTATTTCAGTCTTTCTATCTTTTTATTTGTTATTTGTTATTTGTTATATTTATTTGGTCTGGGTTTTATGACTTAGCATTGAATATTTTAACTTACTATAAGTCAAAGTTAAACCAAGTTCCTTCTAACTGAGCAGGCCTATGTTGAAAAAAATATCTACTACAGGTAAGATAATGTTTGTTTATATGGTTTTTTTTCCCCTACAGAAGCCCATTAAATAATATCTAAATYACCCTTTACGTCCAAGCATTAACACATTTTTCTGAGTACCTCCAATGTTTGTTCTGATTTGGTTACCCCAAACAAACWGAATGTTAATTGCCATCAAATTAGGTCATCACATCGACAGAGCAGGCTGCAATTAGAGGCACTGAATACATTAAGAGGTAAGCCTGGCAAAGATGAAGAAATATATAAACATATTTCCATTTTTTTTGTCCCGAAAGGTTACTCAGCACAGATAGATAATGCGTCAAGTTTGCTGTGATATAAACTCATGACACAGTCTCGTCCCTAACCGCAGCTCATTAGAGCTGATTTGCTTTGAATTTGGCTCTCAGCAGAGGGGATCATGCGCAGTGTGCACCGTGCTGCCTCCAGTCAGCCGAGCAGCTGTCCAGGGTTTGGAATTCCAACATGGCAGAGGCTGTGGTCAGTCTTTCCCCTCACTAACTTGGAATGGTTTCAAACGGTGAGCAGCCACGCTTGACCGCAGCGAGCCATTCATCTCCGCGCTCCCCCGGATCGATGGTACCCTAAACCCTGACGCTGCCCTCGTCCACAGGTAAAGTCCCTCTGCTTTCTCTTTTCTTTTTCTTCTTTTTGTTTATTATTTCKTCCCCCCGACTATCAGTGATGCGAACAATTAGAAAGAGAAAGCAGCTCGGTTTCGCGCATCACAAACGGGGGGGCTGCAGGCGCAGTCTTATATCCGTTCTGATTTATTTTGCTTTTTTTATGTATTTCTTTATTTTCCCACCCATAATGACTTGTCTCTTTAACCATAAAGAAAAAAGAAAACAGCGGGCTCAGGAGATGGACTGTTATGGAGGCTCCGCTCGCCGTAGTTTGAGCAGAAAGCGGCTGGTTTCTGCGTCTCTTTACTGAATAACTTTGTCGCATGGAGAAGTTTTTTTTTTTTTTTTTGCATGTCAGCCTGAAGAAAACTTGCAGCGGAAACAGCAGGCGGGAGGTTAATAGATAGATGGGTTGTCATTGCGCTCTTAGTGGGACAACTGCTGGCAAGTAATCTATTTTAAACGGGGAGGAGGGGGGGCTTCACGCTGCTTTAGCCTCTTCCTCTAATGGGCGGCATGAAGAATGTGTGTTTTATGTCATCTCCAGCCTCTCACATGCTTCCTTCCTATTCTCCACTTTCAGCTCGCGCGCACAAAGTGACAGCCTGCAGAGGCTTTCGCGTCACCGTCCAGGGCTTCTTCTTTTTACCTGTTTTAATACATTTTTTTAATTATTAATTATMCGTGGTTTATAATTAAATGGCCTAAATGAGTGTACCTGAGGACAGAACAAGGGGACGTGTGTGTACGCGCGCGTGTGTTTTTAAGTTGTGAAATCCGATAGCTGCAGGGGGAAAAGTGGCTGTAATGAGAAGCAACCTTTGGAATTCCTCCTCGTGAAAATTCCCATTCTGCTGTTTTTCCCTTCTTTTTTTAGGCTTGAAGACATGATCACTAGCACCAGTATTTATGGTAGGCCTATGTTCCATTTGTAATTCTATATTCACTGTTCAATTTGTGCATTTGTAATTTCTTTTTATTTGTCATGTTTTATAAAAGGGCTGTCATTGCAGCATTTTTTTWATCTATCTCTCTCTATGTGTGTGTGTGTGTGTGCATGATTCATGTTTCAAAGTTCCTTATTTTAATGATCATAGCTCAGAGATATTAGGGCAGATTGTGTGATTAATTTCACACAATTACGCTCAAAGAATCCTGTGAAGGTTAAAGAATTTGCCACAGTTTTAATTTGCTTTCTKTGGTTTCTGACATTCTTTCTGTGCTGCGTGTCTTTTTTTTTTCTTTCTCTGCTTTCTCACTGCACTGGTTTCTGCATGCATAATTCTAACAATATGACTCAATTGTCGAAATAGCTAAAGGATACAAAGATTTTTTTTTATGAATTGTTTGACTGTATTCATCAGACGTTGCATTTTAAACTCAGTGCAAATACCTTTTTTATGAGAAGTCTGCTTTTTAAAGAATATGTTCTTTATAAAAATATTTATTTTGACATGTTATGACATTATGATGGCTTGGGATCTATTTAAAATGATAAAACTTACTTTAACAGTCCCACAATTGTCAGGCAGGATTTGCCATAATAATATAGTTTTTTTATGTTAAAGTAAAAAGTCGCAACGTGCTTAATTCTGCAATATAAACAGAAGTTTATTGTAATCTATATATGCAGTATAGGTTGAATTTGTTTTGTTCTTCCTCCCACACTATTAAAGCTAATTAAGATCTGCTCACACATCAGTTCGGAGCGAATGCCAGGAATAGTTCTGTTTCTTCTTCCAGCGGCAATTATTTGTGACAAGCGAGCAAATGGACACAAAGTCGGGAGACGTAACAGGTTGCGTGATGGCTCTCGCCTGCAAACCACTTTGTCCCGAGCGAACCTCCTCCACCTCCGTGCAACAATTTTGCTTAATTGTGTTCACACAGTTCATTTGCATGTTTCGCTTTGAGAGGAAATTAACATCATCATCAGCGAGCTGAAGTATGTTTTCACTCCTCTTCAGAAAAATAAAAAAATAAAAAACAGCATTCCAGCATCCGTCACTCGGTTAGGAATTTAAAAAAAAAAAGAAAAAGATAAAGTACATTACCACAACACTCATTATGCTTAAGTGTTTGGTTGTAATGTGGGTTTTTGTTAAGTGGGCATTAAATTTGTCACTCAGATTTGAATATGTTTCATATTTGGTGCCTCCCATACATGCAAATAAGTTAGGATTTCTCAAAAACGCAAAAGCATTTGTCAGAAGCAATGGACAGTTATTTAATTTTCATTTTTAAATGTAGCATTTGGTACTTTCAGAGACGTTCTGAGTGGCTAAAATAAACTACAGACCTGTAAAGTATAATAATGCATTTATTTCCACATTGTGTACTCATATAATCCCAAAGGAAGTTGTTTATTTACTCTGAGTAGGAGTGGGTTTATCATATTAAAGCTATCTGCATCGTAAAAGCAGAACTTCTTGGATTTCTCCAACCGTTTTTCCTGAATCTTTGACTGCAAATAATTATTAAGAACTGCACGAGGATACATTTCAGAGTTCAAGCTCTGAAAGGGTAGCATGTGTGAGCTCCTGCAGCGTGTTAGGCGATTCTCGCAGATCCTTACTTAACCTCAGACACCTCAGATGTGCATGGAAAGGAGCTGGCAGCGATGTGTGTTTCTGATTGCACGGCGTCTACGATAACAATCCGAGCTCGACATAAATCTGTGAACAAAAAAAAAATTTTTTTTTGATTGCAGACCCTCTTGTTTTCATCACACGTTTCAACTGTGTGCCAAATATACTGTAAAGTGTGAGAGTAAAAAAGCTGTGTGCACTAAAAGAAGAAAAAAAAGATAAACACATTCTTGTTATATTTAGTTGTGTTGACAAAGGGAGTCAGTTCTCAAAGAGTCAAAACATATTTTATTTCTCATTGCCCTTTTATACAATCAGACAAACTGCAAGAAAAAAAACATRACTTCCTCTTCTCACTCATTCACTTTTGTACATCAAAGGTTTTCATTAATGTAGTGTTTGCAGATTCAGCTGGTAGGGATATTTATTGTTAGGTCACTTATTCACAGATRCACCAAAGCCGGCAGAAAGCAGAAATCTTCAAGGATGCATCTTAAATAAAGCTGTGACTTAATAGCTTGATGTGCCCTTGCTTAGCAATTTAGTTTCTCTAAGTGTTCTGTCTATAATCCAGAGTGTGTAGCAGCACCAGTGATCAGTAAATCTGACAGCACAATTTAAAGCATTACTTTCGTGGGGGTGTGTGGTGGGGGTGTACATCACGCATACACTAATGATGACAATTAGAGGCATCGTTCAGATTACTCTGCTCTGATTCTGCCGTCTGTAAACTGAAGCAAAACGTTGAAACATTTKACAGAAACCCCCCCCCACCACCACCACCACCACCCCTTCCAACTTCTTGACTGTGTTAAACCAGACCAGAGCAGGATTTTTAATCTTTAAGCAAATATGTTCAGCAGTGTCTGCTGTTTCTTTTAAATACAAAGCAAACGGGGTCCCCACAGGAGTCAGTTCAGAGCAAAGTACACACACACACACACACACACACACACACACACACACAAAAAGAAAAACTCTGGTCTTTTAACGTGTTCTCTCCCCCCCCCCCTCCTTTGTCTCAGTTCATCTCTCCCTTCCTTGTTTCCACATCTCTGTCGTCTCCCTCATGGCAGCTTGCTATGTTATCTTTGTGTATTTCTCTCTGCACTGACAATTCTCGCAGTGATTTAAGTTGGACTGCATTAGAAGGTGGAGGCAGCTGTCTGTTGCCATACTGAGGGACGTGTTTGCTCTACTGCGAAGATGAAGGACCATGAATCCTTGACATCCTCCCTTTTTCACCCCCCCCTTCTCTTCCTCCTCCTCCTCCTCCTCCTCCTCCTACCATCTCATTTAGACACAGTGACTGTCTGCTCAGACTTGTTTTTTTTTTCTGAGTGACAGCACATGGCATAGACATTTTCTAAAACGCATCGGCTGCTTGTATTTATTTACCCTCCCAACTACCGACACATCAAGTATTTTATATCTTTAAATTCAAACTAAACACTCGCAGCTTGCTTCAAATATCTTTAATATTTTTTTAGACAACAATATTTGTGTTTTAAATAATGTAAATTAAAATTATTAAATCCTTGTTTTCCCCCTTGTAACAAGTTGGAACAATCACTTTTTCTTGTTTAAAAAATATTAAAATTTTTCATACTGTACCAATAATGTCCTGATGATCCATATCATAAAACCTAATTTGCTTATAGAGCATATAGACTTCGCTGATTATAATAGCAACACTTTAACAAAGTGTGTCGCAGGGCTGCTTTTATTCAGGCCACTTGCAGGCGCGTTTACCCTAAAGTGCAGAATTTGTTGCGTCAAACTCCTCATTTTTCTCATTTTCAGTGCGTTGAGACAGGGGAGGTTTGTTTCATCTCCGTCACATGAGGTGTCTCTGCACTCATAAGAAGACGAGGCAGCTCGGAGCCTGTTGGGGATTGGCTAGAATAGACAATCCCCAGGTGTACTTAAACTAGGTTTAGCACTAAGGCTTTTAATCTGGACTTGTAGGAGATTCATGTGCATTCATAGATTTGCCTCTGTAATTATCATACCCCTGGTGGCAGCCAAAGAGACGTTTGGCTAAATCACTGATGTCCTCATTACACTGTTTACATTTTAATTAGATATGCAAAGTTCTAGATTTTTTATTTTATTTTTTACAAGTGACCAAGATAAATTAGACATTTAGAAATCTTGAGTTCAGCAGCTACATCAACTAAATTCAGCTGCTTACCTGCAGACATTAAAATAATCTTTTGTATTTATTTTGTTTGGTAAACGTAGCTCTCTTTACGTTGCTTTAAAGTGTTTTTCTACTTCCTTGCAGACAGTGTAGCAAACTGTGCGAGCACGGACTGAAAAGAGGAGCTGTAGGTGACAGGACGAGCACGTTATTCATCTGAAAGACAGAACAACATAATGTCCCCTTGACTGAATCAGCGTCCCTATCTGTAATTCATTTCTTTAACCAGATAATGTACTGTCACTCAGGCTGTGAGGACCCAACACTCAAAGAGGATGATTAACAAAATCTCCAATTTCGTGACTTTTTTAAAATGAAAATAGCGAGCACTTTGAGCCATCATTGTGTGCCTGTTGCTTATCATTGAATAACCTTGGTGAAGAGGAGGGGGGCTACTCTCGTCCTTCTTCCAAGGTGCTTTTTTTTTGTACAAACTGTTGAGGAGTTTCACATTGTGAAAGAACAGCAAGCCTTTCACTGAAGTATTTAAAAAAAACATATCTGTATTTATTATATTGAAATCCCTCTCATGTTTTCACACAAACCAGGCTTTGATTAATCTGGTTATTGTGTCCACCTTTGCGGCTAAAACGAAAATTTCATGCATCTAGTTATATTTTGAACTAATACTTATTGGAAACATTATTACATTATTAATTAGACAAAGACAAATGAATAATGCTTKAAGGATGGTCTTTGGCGTTTTTGAAAATGACAGAAAATACATTTGTCATTTTTGAAGACATTTTTTTGCACATAAAACCTGCCGGAACAACCATTTTTACTTTGCAGCTCCAGTAATGATGAGATAATGGTCTTATAATTCAAAGATCGAAATACATGCTCAAATTAACTTTGACATTTGTATTCACGGGCATTCATGTATTTGCTTTGAATATAAAAGCTCATCTTTAGATACCCCCCCCCACCCTCCTTCCCGTTTATCACACCCCTTCGCTAATTGTCTTAAATATCAATTTGAGACAATTAGCTCAAGCGATGATCAGATGAGATGTGAGCCATCAGTGCCTTTTTCCTCAAAGTTCTCTGTGATTCATTTATCCGCCGTGGCGTCGGGTGGCTGACAGGTTGGCCTGGTGCCAGCCGTTAGCAGAGGGAGC